ATTAGAGAAAATATATTAATTCAGGAAAACTTGGCTTATTAGGCAAATTGGGCCTTGAATAGTAGGCTGAGAAGTGCGTTCTGGCTACTAGGTACGACATATATATATATATATATATATATATATATATATATATATATATATATATATATATATATATATATATATATATATATATATATGTCGTACCTAGTAGCCAGAACGCACTTCTCAGCCTACTATGCAAGGCCAAATTTGCCTAATAAGCCAAGTTTTCATGAATTAATTGTTTTTCGACGACCTAACCTACCTAACCTAACCTAACCTAACTTTTTCGGCTACCTAACCTAACCTAACCTATAAAGATAGATTAGGTTAGGTTAGGTAGGGTTGGTTAGGTTCGGTCATATATCTACGTCAATTTTAACTAAAATAAAAAAAAATTGACCTCATACATAATGAAACGGGTAGCTTTATCTTTTCATAAGAAAAAAATAGAGAAAATATATTAATTCAGGAAAACTTGGCTTATTAGGCAAATTTGGCCTTGCATAGTAGGCTGACAAGTGCGTTCTGGCTACTAGGTACGACATATATATATATATATATATATATATATATATATATATATATATATATATATATATATATATATATATATATATGTCGTACCTAGTAGCCAGAACGTACTTCTCAGCCTACTATGCAAGGCCCGATTTGCCTAATAAGCCAAGTTTTCATGAATTAATTGTTTTTCGACTACCTAACCTACCTAACCTAACCTAACCTAACTTTTTCGGCTACCTAACCAAACCTAACCTATAAAGATAGGTTAGGTTAGGTTAGGTAGGGTTGGTTAGGTTCGGTCATATATCTACGTTAATTTTAACTCCAATAAAAAAAAATTGACCTCATACATAATGAAATGGGTAGCTTTATCATTTCATCAGAAAAAAATTTGAAAAAATATATTAATTCAGGAAAACTTGGCTTATTAGGCAAATCGGGCCTTGAATAGTAGGCCAAAAAGTGAGTTCTGGCTACTAGGTACGACATATATATATATATATATATATATATATATATATATATATATATATATGTCGTACCTAATAGCCAGAACGCGCTTCTCAGCCTATTATGCAAGGCCCGATTTGCCTAATAAGCCAAGTTTTCCTGAATTAATATATTTTCTCTAATTTTTTTCTAATGAAATGATAAAGCTACCCATTTCATTATGTATGAGGTAAATTTTTTTTATTGGAGTTAAAATTAACGTAGATATATGACCGAACCTAACCAACCCTACCTAACCTAACCTAACCTATCGTTATAGGTTAGGTTAGGTTAGGTAGCCAAAAAAGTTAGGTTAGGTTAGGTTAGGTAGGTTAGGTAGTCGAAAAACAATTAATTCATGAAAACTTGGTTTATTAGGCATATCGGGCCTTGCATAGTAGGCTGAGAAGCACGTTCTGGCTACTAGGTACGACATATATATATATATATATATATATATATATATATATATATATATATATATATATATATATATATATATATATATATATATATAAATATATAAAGTGAACCAGTTATTGGTGTTAGGCTATGTGCCCAGTATTGATAGTATTACTATTATTGATATCTATGATTTATCTATATATATATGTCTATGCTTGTGTATTGAATAACCATTCATGTGTGCAGTGATCAATTGAATATTCGCGAATGAAAGGAATTACTGAGAACTCCAATAATATATACTTGCATGCGTTATCATTAAATGAGGTGCAGTGTGTTATACCATGATAGTGAACTATTGTGTTCATTAATATAGAAATGTTTGATTGAGCTCAAGATCAGTGCAGCGAAGTATTTACGTTCTATTGCTATTGTCGCAGATATTGTGTTGTTTGAGCATTTAGTGATCCTTGAGAATTTAAAGAAACAGGCGTATTTCGCCAGCAAACAAGTGCAGTAAGAGATCATGCAGTGCGGGGGGGGGGGGGGGTGTCGCCCAGCTGATTTTGACATTGACGTGAGGGGGAGCATTGCCAACTGGGCGAGTTCATGATTATATGTGGGAACGAGCGACTTACGCATGAAATAGCTGTTTACTTGTTGATATACGGATGTGATGTCTGGAGTTTTAAGTAAAACACAAAATACCTTGGCGTTTGTATCATCCCCTCCATATTTCTTGTGGCTATATAATACATGAAAGGTGAGAGTGATAGATGCATACCTGCCTGATATCTGATCTATTGAGTGTGTTCTTGCCGCTGTTACCACAATTTCACCAAACCACTGTCGTGTTACTGGACACAGGAAACACCAGAAATTGAATCCAGAGGCAATAACCGACCGCTGACTTACCTTTCTGATGACATCTCACAACATGAGTCACTTAGTCCATCTCATTTGATGTATGGAGAACCTCTCAACCTTTTTGCGACCCTCACTGATGAGGACCCAAGAGATCCTTCATACATTGGGGAGAGCGACTTTGTTCAGCGTCATAAAGATCTGTTGCGAATAATCAGTCGGTGGAATGAAGTTTGGGATCTGGAGTATTTAACTGCTCTGCATGATTATTACTATGGGGCTACCAACCCCTGTAACATAATACAGTTACAACCTGTCGATGTTGTTCTGGTGGACAGCGAAAGCACATGCTCAGAGTGGCCTATAGACCGTATTGTCTCTGTTCACCCAGATAGCCAAGGAATCTTGAAGATAGTAAAAGTGAAGTACAAAGCCACCACTAGCCTCATGTCAGTAGAAAAGTTAGCACTATTGGAGTTGGCTGGAGAAGAAGTCATGAAGAGACCTACACAACTCTCAACTATAATAAGGGACATCCATCCTGTATGTAATGCCACACACAAGTGCACATTAAAATTAAAACAATATTTTAATAATTCTGATGAAGAGTAATAAAGTGTTCAGCGAGTCCTAAATAGTGGAATCCTACATGTATTCTCCCTCCCAGAATTATGTGGTAATTTCCCCCTCCTAGATTATTAAAATTTATTTAATTATTATTTAATTACATATAATCCAGGAAAATATATTTTCTGTTTCATAAAATTATTAAAATAAATTTGAAGTTAAATTTCTCCTAAATAGGAGGATGTAATTAATTTATATATATTCATTATGAAAGCATATGAACTGTGATGTCACCAAAATTATATGTAATAATTCGAATATGGGTCTATTTACAAATATTATTCATACAGTCTGAGAACTGATTGATGCTTATTTTCATTACATATATTTAACTTTATAGCAATAAATACAAAATCAATATCACTCCTTCCCTAAAAGTATAAATTATCTCTCAAACAAAACGAGTGAGGGAGGATTGAGAGAGCAGCCATATTATTTGCCAAGACGAGTCACACGCTGTGTTTGTTCCCTGAGTTCTCGTAAAATCACGTGATATTTTAAAGTTATACTTCACAGCGACATCGTCAATTATCGGGAAGTATCTCGTTTCCTGTTCTAGCACAAAGATTAGAGTGGCCATTCATTTTCTTACAAGTGTAAAGGCACTGCGGGCTCACCATAGCCCGTGTTACTTGGAACATTTTGTTCCAGGTAGCGAATCTTTAACAACAACAACATTACAAGTGTAGTTCATGGTTAGAGGTATGACCGGCAGCCGACCACAATGGGTAAGACTTTTCCACAAATAAATTGTGGTATTTAACTGAATTTATATGTCTGTAAATGTTGCATGCATTTTTTACAATGTAACATTCTGGCAGGCTGAGGTTGGAACTACATTTAAACAGTGAGTTAAGGGTTTCTAAACTTAGACATATTGCGGCATGGAAGTGACGCCACAAGCCACATAGTCTATGTGGAAGTAACCAGCCTGTGGGACTCATACGTGTTCAGACTGGAGTAACAGCCTCTGAGCCAGATAAGCTGTTGCTCCATATAATTACTAAATCAATTCACTTATACAATTTAAATAACCTGAATTATTTACTTAGTTTAACTAACTGATTTAATTTAGTTTAGTTGAATTTAAATATAAAACACCCATAGTCTGTGTGGATCAATATGTGTGAAATTTAAAAAATTCAGTCCACTAAGATTTCACTAAGCTTTTATGAAATAAATATTTAATTAGTTTAATTTCACACAATTTTACAATGTTGAATTAAATGAAATTAATAAAATTAATAAAACTTCCCCACAGGAGTGTAATTTGGTGCTAGTTGGCAATTGATGTGTTGCTTTGTTTGCTTTATGTATAATGCCTCGCCGTTGTCCAGTCTGTTGTTGCTGACGATTATTTTGGTGTTGTTTGTGAGTATATCTCTGGTGATGGTCTGGTTATGTTTAGTGAGTATATCTCTGGTGATGGTCTGGTTATGGTCTGGTTATGTTTAGTGAGTATATGTTCTTCATGTTTAGTAGGTCCTTGCTGGTTTGTACAGTGTTAGGTGTTTTAAAAGGGATGTTGTTGCTTTCCCAATATATTGAATTCGTTGGAGCTGACAGTCTCAAAGTGGTCATGTGAAGGCATAAAATATTGGTCTCTTTCAAGGAGTTTTGTTTGGTTTCAGGAGAGCTCCTCATGAGCAAGTTGGCAGTCTCCTTGCTCTTATGATATATCTATTTAATTAGTTCAATCTTCTAATATTTGGGACTTGCCAAAATATTGAGCATTACACAGCTAACAGTCACAAATGGGGCTGGTAAAGAAATAGACGACATTGTTTTTTTAAAACGACTCTTTCAAGTCGTTCCATTTGTGATAGGATTTTTTTCATTAGAATAAATAATTTCTTTCCGTTTTAGATTCTATTTATATTTTCTCGAGCACTCACAAACAATTCAATTCCCCAATACCGTAACAAGTATCGTTACTAAGGTTATTATTATTACAATAATTGTTAAATTAATCATAGCACGTTAAAAAAAAACTGGTGAATAGCCTCAGAGAAATGCAAAATTTGTTTCCACTAACAGTTACTTTCATGCTATTGTTTCTCTTCCGGCAGGAAATACAGCTCTTCACGTGGCAGTGGAAGCTGGCAGAGTAGAGGCTGTGTACGGCCTGCTGAAGTTCTGCCCGGATCTCTCCCTCCGTAACTCCCAAAGTTTGTGCCAAACTACATTTTGTAGAGTATCTGTGAATGCACAGTTTTTTCATTGTATGTTTCCTATTAGGTTTTATATTTTATGCATCCGAAGAGATCCAACGACTTTTTGTTACCTTGTTGTGCCTGAACATCCAGAAGTTTCGTAGAGTTACATGAGTGTCATACATAAGTGTGATAGGCCTAGCTTTATTTGTTAAGTAGTTTATTTTTGAAAATTTCTTGGTTGCAACAACTGCAGGTCTTCATTAGTTTTAGCAGCATCAACTCCTCACTACACCTGAAATTTGTATATTTGATTTTTCATTGGAGGGTATGAGGTATCTGGGGTGTGTCAGGGTTAGTGTTCTCTCAGCTACTGCTACTGACATACACATACAACCATACCTGATGGCATCAGCAGTGACGGGAGACATGTTGGTCAACATGTCCACTGAAGCAGAATACAACCCTATTTACAAACCAGTATTTCCCTGTAATGTAGTGAAGGGCCAAGAAAAGAGATGATGGTGTACAGAAGGGGAATGATTTTCCTTGTATGTAAAGGGGCGGATATTTAATCAATATAATAAGAAAAAAATTAAATAAATTACACAATGTAAGTCCATAACAAAATGATATTGCCCTGCACACAAAGTGGGAACTCAGCGGGGACATGACCCCCACTACACAGAATGTAACACAAAATGAGGTACCCTGGCAGACCTAGCACTCAGACCAGCCATACTGAATGCCAACAAATTATCTAGCTGGGACAGCCACATCGTACAGAAAGATGCAACAGCTTTGCTGGAGGCAACACTAACTCCCTGTGATCATGCTCACCTCACATCTGTGCAGGCTCCCCATGCAGGGGACGTTATTTTGGCAGTCCCTATGACTGTGAAGGGCACACGTTTTGATCCTCAGCAACTCTGTATTGCAGACGCCCTCCGCTTTTCTACCCCAACCACATTGTATGTAGGTGTATTTGCAGTGAGGCAGATGCAGACGAATATGGATCACACAGCCTGCGCTGCAGAAAATAAGTGGGTTGGCACTCAAGACCCGACTTAGTCAACGACATCATTAACAGGAGCCTTACATCTTCCCAGTGTCCAGCAGAGAGCACAGTAACCTAATGAACTTTAAGTTTCCTGCTCTTTCTGGTCGACCTGATGGAATCACACTACATCTATGGAGAAATGACTGATGAATGGTGTGAGTACATTCATATCCACTTTGGCAGCCACGTAATCCCCCTCTTTGTTGGTTAAGCAGGAGCTGCGGCAATACACAGTCACAAATCAATCAAGTACACAGAAATAGATCACCTTTACAATTTTGTTCTGAAAGGTTCTGAGACACGAGGTCCATAGGGAGAATGTGCAAGGTTTCTCAAGGATTTTGGTCCCAGGCTCGCCGAAACAACAAGTGACCTTAGAGTGGCGAGCTTTCTTCTCCGTCGCCTCAGTGTGGAACCTTCTGTAACTGACGCCTGCAATAACTGACTCGGCCACGGTAGAACAAAAGTTGACCAGCCCAGAACTCTTCTAAGCTCTCTGAAAGGCTCTGGAGGCCCCAAACTGGGACCCATCCAGGGTTTTAGAGTTAACTCTACCACACTCGAGCCTTCAGTAATTGCGTTCTCACTCATACGCCTCAATAATGAACGGCATTACTGTAGGTGTTCAAAGGAAGCTTCTTTCATCATTCAGCAAGGTAACATGTATCTACAGATAGACGGAGTAGCAATGGACTCCCCTCTTATAGTGCTATTTGCAATTTTTTACATTATAACAATCGAGGAAAGAGTCTTCAGTAATAGGCTAATGCCAAGTGAATACTGCCGTTATGTCGATGACATATTCGTAATAGTAAAAGACCTAGAAGAATTAATTGATATGAAAAGCAATCTAGAAAGAGGGGTCAGGATTACGATTCACCCATGAAAATAGTGAAAATAACAGTCTGTCTTTCCTGGATATATTAATAATAAACATAGGAGCATTTCTGAGCACTGGTGTCTATACCAAGCATACAAACATAGGATTATGTTAAACAGTAGGAGTGAGTGACCCAAAAGATTCAAAGCCAGTGTTCTCAACGCTTATATCCGTCGAGCCCTTACTCACTGCTCTGAATGGAGTAACGTGAGTAAGAAGTTTGAAAGGATAACACAGGTGTTGGTGAACAATGGATATAGCAACTATAAGATAAACACTAATATATAAGAAGACACTTGAACAGGTGGTATAATCATAAACAAAGAACAGAAACCACAACACCTCTAATAAAATTAAATTACAAATCCACCACGCAAAGTAAACATAAAGAAATAAGAAATAATCGACAAAGGAGTAAAACTCCTAACCAAAACTTAGACACAATCATATACTATAAAACAAAGAAGATCATTAACCCCATTACAAACTGCCCGAATCCGACTGAGAACCCTTTACAGAAGTCGAACGTGGTATATATGTACACCTGCCCCCACGAAGGATGAAGCCTTCAATCTAAGTACATAGGTATGCGTCGACCAAGCTGACAAGGCGTTTGACCCATCAACTTCAATCAGGTGCCCCTAAAAATCACATGAGACAAACCCATGACATCACACTAACAAGAGAAATACTGAATAAATATACTTACATATTACATAAAACCCTATGTGTAAGATTATAAATTCTAGAAGCCATTCACATAAAACGTTGAACATCCCACCATAAATACTCAAATAATGGAACTATTCACTCAACCCACCATGAGAGTGAGAACAAGACCGGAACGTGAAGATGCCAACGTTGATGACAATGCCCAAAAGGCTTCTCCCACTACACCTAACTAGTCTTTGTATGTGCTTCTAACCTTTACTTCTTACTCCTCACCTAATTGTATGTATACGTTATTGACCTATGCTTCTTACCTTATACACCTCACCAATATGTATGTACCTGACCTCGCAATGGTATAAATCCAATACGCCAACCGAACAGTCCAGTCCACAGTTATAGCCCCGCTCCTGTGCCAGGTAAGTCCATTACGGGCTCACCATAGCCCTTGCTACTTGCAACTTTTGGTTCCAAGTGGCGAATCTTAAACAACAACAAACCGAACAGACATCAGACTCGCAATACAAGGACATGAAATTGAGTGAGTTACCTCTTTTCAATACCTAGGAGTCATAATAGACAGACAGTTGAAATTCACTCAAGAAATTTAATATCTTCGCTAACGTTGTAAAGCCAGAAACTCAGCTTTGCACTCCCTGACAAATCTTAGAGAGGGTGCATCTCTACCAGTACTCAAAATGTACTACGTTAAAGCAGTTAAGTCACTCATTGACTATGCTGCTCCTGCTCTTACATCCCTCAGTGATAACCAATGGGAGAAACTGAAAGTGTCTCAAAATAATGCTCTCAGAATAATGCTGGGAGCACCTATATGGACGCGTCGAGAGAATCTAAGAATGGAAACCAACTTATCAGCCTTAGAAAATAGGATCAAACAAAGAATAGCCACCATAACAGTAAGACTTGTTGGAACCACCGCCAGACTGTCAATCGAAGACAGCATACACAGATCGCTTTACAAAAACCTTCAGTATATAACAAGTGCATGGACGGATAATCTAGTCAAGATTCTAGAGAAAGTTGACTTGAAACGGACCATTAAAAACAATGGAGACATTGACCATATCAACACTTTCGGCAGACTACTGCTGGGGGAAGAATCGAGTTTAAAGATAATCATTGAAGGATTATCAGTTAAAAGATCAGCATGTGACTCGCAGAGGCTCAAAGCTGTCATAGAACAACAAATGGAAACCATCTCGAGACCTACAACGACTCACATCTTCACAGACGGATCAGTTGATCAAGAAAGAGGTTCTGCTGGGGCAGCAGTTTACACTACCATCCATGAAGCTTACTGGAGCATGAATAGTGGGTGCTTAATATTGCAAACAGAATTATATGCCTAAAGGAGGCCATAAACTATTTAATTGAGAATAATTTACATGATGTCATCATTCATACCGACTCTAAATCTTCGCTCCAGGCATTGTTATCCAGCCAGCACAGTGATAATATACAACTTATCACAGAAAACCTACATCTTGGAAAAGAAGTACACAATCTAGGGCTGTCAGTTACCCTAAATTGGATACCAAGTTACATTGGCATAGATGGTAATGCAAAGGCAGACTCACTAGCAAAAACACTCACTGCTCTACCTGTTATACAAGTTAAAATCCCTCCAAGTTTTTCACAGATTAAGGAGTAAATCAAGAAGTAAACACTCCCAACTATCAAAATTTCCCCACATACCCAAAGTAGCTGAAGGAAAATCCACTGCGATGTGGTTAGAACAAACCACTGTGTACTAGTCTTTCAAGCTTGGTAAAAACATATCCAGAGACATTGCAGTAGCCATACACAGACTCAGAGTTGGTTACAAGAGCTGTTGGGTGGTAATAAACTCAATAGTTAAAGAGTATCATATCTGCTGAACAGATGCAGAGGCACCACTACCACATATTAATCCTGAGGGATTCTGCACATAAGAAATTGCAATAGAATCATAAAGAAAATATAATCTTAGCTTAATGATGATTCCTTTAGACAAGCCATGGAAGTTCCTCTTATTCTCTGGACTCAGTCGGCTGACGAAAGGGACGGATTAACATGGGAGAAGGCGGCATGGAGAGTTCCTCTCTCGTGCTGCAAGACAAATATTTACAGTAGCAACTAATTTAACTACTAAATCTATATTCAAGAAATTGAGAGTTACAGGTGACAAAATTTAATCACCTGTTATTAGATGTTATCGTGCGTCATAACGGACAATCACCCAGCTACCATTAAACTTTTACCCGATGCATCACATAAAGGAATATACTTAGCTGTGGGCACTGTATAAGTATTAAGATTGCCGTGCTTCGCGTCCCAGGCTCCGGTTAGAACTATCCTGGATAGTGACGCGCTTCGCTGGCCGGTCACGTGTCGTCAAGAACCAGG